CCAGCTCGAGACGCTGCGGACAGCGCGAGGGTAGAAACTAGGCTCTGTAACTCGCGTCGTTATTATATATATTTAACATGCGACTGAAGTTCGCCGACTATCCAACTCTGGAATGTGAGAAGGACTTGGTGCGGTAGGAACTTATGACAGAAGTTCGAGGTATACTTCGAGGTTTGTATACCGGCGAGTCTCTCAACTTTCTGTCTTGCTCGCACCTCGCAGGAAGTCGACGCTCTCGTGCGCCACATACGGATGGGAAGCGCGCGGTGTACAGGTGCACGCACGCAAATACGGACGTGCAGTGTATCATGGAGTTTCCGCGTTACCCCATAAATCGCGCGACACCGGCCCGCCGTTAATTTCGCTGTTTAACCTTCGCGTCAGGAATAACTTCGCCCGACACCTGTACGAACAAGTTGTCGCTGGAATCCGGCGACGTTTTAATTGCCCTTTGACGGTTTTAGTCGTGCGCGATTCTACGAATAAATCGATGCCGATTGGTTGTGAAACGGCAGTGAACGTGGAGGATTGTTAGGTTGGGACGACGAATCTCGTTAGTTGTATTGTTTTTAACCAGCTAACTTCATTTTAAATCATGTTATTTTCTTTACAGCGTGAACACTCGTCGGAAAAAATGAAATTACTTTCCGAACAACACAATAACTACGGTTTTTTCTTTGTGTGCGAATGAAAGACGAATTTTCCACGAGAAACTAAAACTTTATTAATGTATTGACCATTTTGTTTCGATTGTTTTTTGTCGTCTAGGCAACTTTGTGATTCCGCGATTCGATAAAGTTCTTAGACAAAAAAACAGTTCCAAGAACGATTTGACATGCTTGTCAATAGTTCTTGAAATTGTTGTAGAAATTTAGCAATTTTAGTTTTAAAGCTTTTTCACCATACGTGTCGGACAATTTTTTATGAGCATGCGTTCGTTTCCTTTTCGATGATGGTACAGCAGAATGTGATGAAAATGTTACTTGTCGATTTTTCGCTTTGAAATCGACGTTGAACGAATAACGAGATCGTACATTTTTGTTTTTTGAAGCAAGCTTGAACAATTAAGTATCAGATTACGCAATGAACGTGTGGTTAGAAATTAATTACATTTTAAGGCAAACGTATGTGTTCATTTAATTACTTTACCCAACACAGCCCAATCGAAATTTGTTGAAACATTGTTTTTTTTTTGCATTTATTTAGCTAGAGAAGACTATTGCCAACTTTTATTGAGACAGAAATGTAGTACATCTACTTGTTGCACTTTATCACTTTAATAATAATCATATACGTCACTAGAGTATTTCGTACTATTTTACATTCGACGAGATTTTCAAAGTTCGCCAGTCTCTTCGATTATTCCTAAAGCTTCATCCTCCTTACTTTATCTTTACGAATATCCTCAAAAAGGCAATGTTTCCGTGAGTTTCAATAATTTATCAATAACCGTTTAGCTCTTGAGAAGAAATTCAAGGTAAAGAGGCGAATTTTGTTTCGCGATTGACCGGTTGACGACGCCGCGAGCAACGAATGCTTCCTTTTCTGCTCGCTTGAACGCTAGAAGGATGATTTTGACGAATGCATTAAGATACATACCACTGAATATTTTTCTCTTCGTCCGTGAAAGTTGCACGGCTCGTGAGTAATTACACGGGCAAACGAGTTTCTTGGCCGTTCGTCTCGTTCTTCCTTAAACTTTCCCTCCATTCTCTCCGACTTCTGTTGCCGACTTCTCGGCAAGAACGTAACGAAATTCAGCAATAAAACGAAAGCTTGCCCTATCCTTGTCGGTTGTTAAGATAATGTCACGACAGGGCGAAATAAAAATGTAATAGCTCTCGCGAAAGTGGATTCCGACCAACTTCGCTACGTAACTTACCATCTGCGGCGCCATATTTTCACGTATCAGTCGCGTTCCAGATATTTCACCAAAATTACCTCGGTCGTTTTGATATCCATGGGCAGTTAAGTCGATGAATTATCTTTAAAGATAAAGACTTTTTTTCATTCTCTTGGTTATTTTAGAATACGCGCACTGTTGCCTTCTACTTCGATTTCTTTGACTTTTAACTTTTAGCTTTGATCTCGTCTGCCTCGACTATAGTAATAGTTTCTTTTTCAACGCTGTAAACGGACCATTTTATTCTTTATTACCTACGTTCCGTGAATTTATGTCCCAATTTTTCTCCGTCTTTAACGAGCAAGAAAATTCCTGCAGCTTGAGAAACAGAGATAGAATCGAAACGAGAAATTACTAAATTTTTTTAATAAAAATTGTTAAATTGCTTAAATTTTATACTCTTAATTGAATAGGATATTGAAGAGTTTGACAATTTGGGATTGAATTAAATAAAGTTTAAAATAGCTAGTTTATCGATGTGTAATAATTTACATCATTTGAGAATAAACATCTTTACTGGTCGCGATTGTAATTCATTATCAATTTGCATGTATCAATTCGGAGAACGGTCCTCTCCGGCTAAATTAATCCATTCGACCGCGAGGTCCGAGTTTGAAGATTGTAAACACGAGAAAGCGAATTCCCGAAGTTTCGCGACTGAAACGAGCGGTAATAAAGCGGTATCAGGGGCCGCTGGTTTCCTTTCCCAACTTTATTCCCCGGTTTTAATATCATCGCGTTCCGTTTTAAACGCGAGAAATACGTACACGCCAGGACTCTGCGGTGAAATTATTAGCGGCGGATAGAGAATTCCAGCGGTAAATGATAAATCAACGAAACTATCAACCGCGATTCGACATGGCCCACGCGTCTAATTGGATTTGGCGAATATTATCCGGAACGCAAAACAGAGGACCGACCAAGGGGTATATTTTCAAGCGTTTGAGTGAAATCGGGGACGGGTAATTTATGGAATTTCGAACGGAAGCTTTTCGAGTTGCAAATCGACCGTCAGCGAAAACGAAACTTTTCAATTACATTAGAGCCGAGCATATTAAACGCATCTTCGAAAGATTCCTCGCTCGAGATCTCCTCTGACAGCGGCGGAGGAGGAGGAGGAGCACTGTGTCTCATCTTCCTCTCCTCTCTTTCTCTCGTTCTTTCGCGTCTTGCCCGCTAACTCGATCCGAAGTGAGTTCGCCGAGGGTAAACTTATAAACTATGAAAGTTACTTTCCTATTCAATGAATTGACCGTGCCTTCGGCCGGCTACGTGCCTCGAAACCGAGTTCCGTCCCGACTTCCTTCGGCCGGGACTTTCTGCCTCCTCCTCCTTCTCTCTCTCTCTCTCTCTCTCTCTCGTTCCTATTATCTATCGCCGCGCGTGAGAAAGAATACAATGTTGCCGACCGACCGGAAAATTACAAGTTTTCTCGCTGCGGCGTGAGTTTCGAGCCGAATTCGAGCCGCACCCCCGGCTGCGAAATGGGTCACGACGGTTTTTTTTCACACACCTGCCAGCCGTATAATTCACACGTGAACTCGCCCGGCGGATATCGATTCCGGTTGGCGGAAGACGAAAATATCGGTGCCTCGTGCTCGCGCGCTCTTGAATTAATAATTTAGGGAATTTGCTCGAATTTATTGTATGTACGAAGCTGTTGGAAGTTAATCAGTGTGAGTTGCCTCTCGTCGAGAACGAAACGGTTCAAGCATTCCAATATGATTATTGCAATTGACGAACGGTTAAAGAACGGTTCCATCGTGAAGCTTTGGTAAAAAAGAAAAGTGTGATGGTGCGTTACATGTTGATTTTTACGTGCCGTCGTTACGTGGGGAATTCGAAGATGCATAAGGACAAACGATACATACAGTATGTATGAAAAATATAATATATAAAGTAATATATAAAATAATAGTAATATGTAAATAATATATAAAATATAAAATAGTAATAATATATAAATAATATATAAAGTAAAATAACGAAAATATATATGTAATATATATAAAATAACGAAAGCGGAGTGGACTTTTGTAAGTTATATACTTGTAAAAGTATGAAATTGCCTAGAAATCGTCAGCTCTTAAATCCTCCGTATAATCTTGTTATCACAGCTTACCTGTTCCAAAGTACGAGCGTGAGAATTTATACGAACTACGAATACGCGAATACAGTGTCTGTATAAATATGTAACGTTTCTCTTGAACACGCGCTGCGTCTCGTACAATGGGTCGTAAAACAGAATTCGTAATGTTTGTGCTAGAGATAGGAAGTGAGAAGCGATTCTGAAAATGCGCACGAGTAAAGTTCTTTTGGAACGTGGAATCGTTGAAATGTCAACGAACGGAGTGACGGAATTTAAAAGAATCAAGCCGAGTGAAAAATTATCGTGCAGTTGAATTATTGCTGTATTATTCCAACTTATTCGCGATCCAATACTCCCGTGCAACTTGGATCTGAATACTTGAGGTAGAAAATGGAAAAGAATGGTCTGAATAGTTAGGACGTGCACTGGATGGCGAGATATGATTTCAAAACCAAAGCCGACAGTATTGAATTCCGACGACTTTGTAGTCGTCGAGTGGAATAGTTCTTGGTGGCTCGTTTATATCGGTTTTCACGATTCTCCGTGGTCGTCGATATTGAACGTCTAGACGTAACTTCCTTGCTGTGTTAATTCAGGTAAACTGCGGATCTTTGAAATGATCATTAGTTCGGTTCATATCGTCGACTATAATTGACAATTCTAATTTTATAGGAATAAAACTTAATGTTGAGAAAATGAATGTGAAATATCTAAAGTACAGTGTTTTCTTTAGTATTTCCAAAAATGTTACACGAGAGTAATTCATCTGATAATTTGCGAATTTTCATATAGAGGCATTTGGTTCGTTCGCTAAATATCATAACGAGTATTATCGTTATATAACGTGAACTTATCAATTTTCCATAAATGCATAGAGATCTGCATTCTGATTGTGACTGGTACATATTTTTAGCGTAAGACGTGAAGAACTTGGAAATAAAATTATGTACGAGATATTTGAATTTTATCGTGTTTGTGCGTAATGGAATCTCGATCTTTTTGTTACAGAAGTGGAGAAGACTGCAGGAGCTGCACCGGGGGCATCGGGTGCAACTGCAGGGGGCCCTCGGGGGTTGACACCTTCCCCTGCCCCCTCGACACCCTCGACCCCCGTTACCACCACTAGTTCTTCGGTCTATACCACCTCACCCTCGTCCTCGCCTTCACCTTCTTCCTCACCCTCCGCCATTGTAGCGAGCTTGGACAAATCGGTGCTGCAGGTAATTAGTCACGTAATGATACAAACTTCTTTAGAGCGAGTGACTTGCTATAAAATTGCTTTCCTTCAAATGGCAAACCGCCGAGAAATCTTAAATTTTTGATGTATATATTTTGTTTCGCAAATTTTCTTAACGCCTAATTACTTTTTTTTTGTTTTCTATAAAAAGTATATTGCACGACAAGTCACGATACGATACGACGACGTACAAACTTCTGGTTTATATTTGACAGATAAATCACTTTTTTCCGCGATGAAAATTACCGCGTAACGTTCATTTTAAAAACCGTCCTCGATAAAATTTTCATGCGCTCGTAAGCGGCCGCGATATTTATACGTTGGTTGTTTAGACGTTTAGACGTGGATCGAGGAGGGTCGCAAATTTTCGAGAATTCGTTGCGTAAAATGATAACCCCTTATAAATAGCGTGGAGCAACAGGCTGTATCGCGGAACAAAGGGTCACCGACTCCTGTCCCCGCAGGATCGGCACGATAACGTCCAAAGAAATATGTTGTCCATTAGTCGACTAATAATCGCCGCGAATCGATATCGTCCGATATTCGCGCGAAAGGAAAAAGATTCGGTCGTTTTAGCCCCCGGGACGCGAAAATTGTACATTTCACTCGACGCGTCGCCGCGCCGCAAGCACCGGCTTTATTCCTTAACCGGGGAATGCTTTCCCATGTTGAAATCACTACGTTTGGAAATTTAATTACTCGATAATTAATTATTTTTCGCGTGAAATTTGCAAGTGCAAAATATCAATACAATCAATACAACTTTCCGCCTACTACTCTCTACTATTATCTCTGCTATTCTCCAATATAGGACATACGTTCTGTTTATTGAGAAATCTCGTCTTCGTTGACACAATGTACGCGTATTTTAAGCAACAGTTACAGCAACTCAGAATAGAAAGAGACAATACCTATACAACGAATCTCACTCTTCGTATTCATACTGAAGACGGTTCTCCATTTATATCTCCTATCCTACGAGCTACGTCAAATGTAAATCACAATACTTCGTATCGTATAGTACACGGTATACTTTTAGAAATGTCGCGACGAATCGTTTATAAGTTACTTACGAAACTGCACGACGGAAAATATCGTCTTACCTAGTTAAGAGGTTAACGATGGCTTGGTCGTTTGTTGACGACGAGCATGACAACGAGGTAACTGCAAGCCTGAGTTTCCAGGGCGGGGTGGTAACACTGATACGAGGGTGGTAGGGTTAGTTACGATAATGCCCAGGAGCCGGTCTAGCCTCGGGCATCTTGGCTAATTAAAGCTCATAAATTACGACCACGTGGAAAGAGAGTGACGAGAATATGGCAACGTAACGGACGGACGTGCCCGAGGGTTGCTCGTCGCCGAAAAAAAGAATTCGTTAAACGACGCCTCTCGTGCAAACTTCAAATTTCCACGACGAGTCTCGTTGTCTCCTTAACGTTTATCCTCTTCACGGAATTTCATTTTTCTTCCCTTTTCGTTGTCCCGGTTTTAAACGCCGAAGTTCCTATTTTGATTTTCACGAGGTTAATACGTATGATAAAGTGTCCAGAGTTTAAATTTGAAGTGCTAACACGATCGATAGTGTCAATTATTCCACGTTAAAGAAGAAATTTATTACGAATTTTTCTCTAAATTTTTATTATTGATATTGAAGCTTTTTCACGAGAGAACTTTTTAACGTTTGAAATTAGCAGCAAATGAAAAATCTGTCATTCGAAGAATTTTATAATTCTGGAATCCAGTTCTCATAAATTTGATTGATCGCTAGAAATGCGCGATTAATAGTATAACGTTACGAAGAATCTCTAGACTCTCATTAGAAAGAGCGACGTTTCGTTCTAATGGAACGATGTTTCGGCGAAGGTACGCGGTAATATTTCAAATAGTTGACGCGCTCGGTGGCGAATTCGGAATCAGAATCGGCGGGACGCGGCTCTTTCGATACACGTTTCACGAGACTACACGGACACACGGCGTGGGTGGGGAATCAAGCCGGGAAAGTAGCCGGCGTTGGCTTGGTCGGGGACATTTACATTCACGTGCCGTGGCAACCGGCAATCTGCCGGTGGAAGTAAGGGGTAACGCGCGTTCCGTGCTCCTCAAAGTAGGAGGGACGGTCTAACTGGATTAGCGCACCGAGTCGCTGAAATTAATTCCCCTTTCGATATTCGCCGCTCGGACACCGATTGATTTCCACTCGCCTGGAAAACGCGTTCCGGGTAAACGAAAATCTCTCGGTATGCGCTTTTAATCGTGCGTTTCGAGTGCTTTGCTAGCGTATTGTCGATGTTTTTTGAACACAAAATGTATGTACATATGTGTATATATATATATATATATATATATATATATATATTTTATTTCAGAGAATATTCAAAAAATCTATAAATATATGCGCTATCGATCAAAAATTTGAATTCACTGCATATTTGGATGGAAGGATTCTCATTGAGATATTAATTTCGAATTAATAATATGTTTAGGAAATCAGCGCAAGAGATTTATTGACGTATTAACTTATGTAGTAATAGGTACGGCAATAATGAGGCGAGTGGTATCATGATTCTAGTGGTAAAATTTGAAACCAATCTGAAAACGTACAGATAAATTACAGAGCGCTTATTAATTTAACAAAAGGTTAATGTACGGTGCAGATAGTTACGATTAATATAATTTATGTTATGACCTGGGTGCTCCTATTAAATATCGAGGATTATTGATGTAATGAATGCTTGACTGTTTGAATAATTCTCTGCTTGCAATAAATATATCTTCGTAACCTTTTGCAATTCATTACGTCATCTGTCGTATAGAATATTTTGTACAATATATTCGGATACTTTCGTAATTTCGTAATTGGAAAAGTAAATTTCGAATGCTTGATCGATAGAGCGCGTCTGGGAAGAAATTACAGTTTTTGGATAGTCGAATCAGAGAGAAGATGAAGCACGTAAAACTTTACTTTTATTGTCAGCGCGCCACAATTGAAGAGCTCTCTTTCGAAATCTTGCGATCTCGAGAGAGATAAAGGACGAGTTCGTCGTTCGAGGAGCGTTGGCGAAAGCGAACGACGGCTCGTATCTCATGGAAATCTCGTTGGTTTTCGCAGCATCAGCTACGATTATTTGTTGCGTCAAAGGTTTCCACCTAGGTCGTCTTGCCACGTCGCAAGGGAAGGGATAGTCTCTGAAATACGTTGACAGTGGAAAATTCCGAAGAAGCACGATTCCGGTGGAATATTCCGCCACGGTCGGCGTGACTTCGGCTATCAGGGTTAGGAATTAGATTTGTGTGACGTTGGTGGACAGCGCGGGAGGCGGCGTAGAACCCGCTCGTGCACTCGCATAACTCGGCCAATTTTATCGAGTTACCCTGCCGTTTCTCTGCCTTCGCGGCCATCCTGATCTTCATTCGTCTCATACTCGATTCCGGAACCATCCTTATCGAAGTGGATGCTCCGAAATTTCTTCTTCCACCATCTCCTCTCAAGTTTTTCCCCCTTCTTTTTAACTCTTCCGCGATGGTGGGATATTTTAGACAGAACTTCATTTATACAACCTCGTTTAAAAATAGTTTGTACTATAATTGGAAATCAGAAGTAGTGGAGTATCATTTTACCCAATCAATAAAAGGTCACTTAACAGGGCAGTCTTAAAGCAGTCATTGTAAAAGAAGTTTGACTTTGTGTGGAATATTGTCATTGCCGTCTTCGAAGGGTTAATCAGATCCCTTGGCGTTCGTCTTTCGAATTTCATGTCTTTCCTTTATGAAATTCTTGCCCGCTTTGCGGCGTTTTGTACGATATACGAGCCTGTCGACTTTATTACGTGTTTGCGCTACTTGCTCAGTGTCCGAGGTCTATTTAAACAGACCGTATTCTTTGAAGTGCATATTCCTCAAAGACTACAAACAACCGGGACTTGTTGAATTATTGTTCGCCGTTTGATCGTGACGCAGCTAACTAGTCGGATTCCGTTCCGAGGCAGTGTTCTGAACAACAGTTTCTCCCCGGTCACGGCTTTTAATAACCAGTCTAATCAAATAACGCTCCCTTATAAAAGTCGCTTTCATCTTCCTTCCATTTTATTTTTACCGTGTCCTTTTCTCGGTACTCTCCGACGGCTTGTCAAAAGCTCGCAGATTCTTCGCCACGTTCGAAGAATTCTCGCTGGCAGGTAGCGCGTTAACGTGCTACAAGCCTCACGCATCGTTTCCGTTTACTTTATTTTCGGCGCAATTTCTTCGCTATTGCATTATCGCCGGTTGTTTCCTTTGCGACGTTCCTTTGTGCAGCGATTCGTGCGCCGGCTTATCAAGCCTCTTTTAACTCGTAGCTCCGCTGCCATATTGTTCCAGCCAGTTGAGAGCACTTTGCACGTTCGCGTGCATGTTTCTTCATCTATCCGATGTAAATGCGCCGCTTTGACGCAATTGTCAGTTACCGTCCCACTGTGATTTACTAATCGTCGCACGCTTTGAACAACTTCCACATTTTCGATCTTTCTTTCTTTTTATCCTTTTCTCTGTTTTACGTAATTTCCACGTAAACGTAGAGAATTTTAAACGCTCGCGGCGGAGTAAATTCGATCGGAGGGAAATATCAATTCGCGCAAGAACGTCGTACATCTCGAGCGGAGCAGCTCCCACGATTTAAATAGTTTTTACTTTTTTCCTCGATTTCCAAATAAACGATCCAAAGGGGATCCGTAGAAAACGTTCGTGACGCGACGATATAAATTTAATCGGACGAAAAGTCAGTCGTATAAAGAAGTCTGCCCGCGTCCTCTGTCTCTTCGTCGATTTTCAAGCCTGGTGGCAAAAGAATACAGGTGCGAAACTTTCCTTTGAACTGAACTTTCTTCTCGGACGCGGGAGACGTGGCATTTCCAAAAATAAATGTTCTAAATTCGAAAGCCCGGTGTCCTTAATGGAGAGACACTTTTGCGCCAGTTTCGTTGAAAGCGTGTCTTCGAGGACAGGCCGTTGTGACACTTTACGGCTTTTACATGAGCGAATATCCGGTCGAACGGCCTGGATAAAAGAAAAGAAAGAAAA